CGAAGGTGGCGTGGACGTAGCCAGCCACTGTTCGGGTTTCTCGCGACACAGCAGGTAACGTGAAGCAGGAAGGGCATGATATGGCACAACGATTTGGAGCCAAAGAATGCTGCGGACCTGGTCAACGTTTGCGTTGACGATGACGAGAAGTATGTGAACTGTATTGACAGACTCGCAACTGCATCGCAACTGCGATCGATCAATGCATTTCACATAGTCCCTGTCATCGTCCAAGCACACGTTGACCAGGTCTGCAGCTTGCTTTGGCTCCAAATCGCAGTACCATTTGTGGTTCGCTCCTGGCCATCCGCCACGTCAACTCCCTGCTTGATGCAGAGTTGCGCCAGCAGCACGCAGCCGCGGCGGCGTCGAGCTGCCACGAGTTGGCGAAAGTCAGCATGTCCTGGCTGCACAGCAGCCTCAACCAAAATAGCACATTTTGGTTGAGGCTGCTGCCAGGACATGTTGACTTTCGCCAACGCGTCTTTGGCTTCGGCGAGGTCTCCATCTCTCACCTTCTCGAAGAGACTGTCTCGCTCCTCGCCATCCGCCACGGTGACAACATCTTGGCTCATGTCTGTGCCTGTGACATGTCTGAAGCCAAAACATCCTGCATGGGAGGGTAGGTGATCAGAAGCGTGTCAACTATGATGCGCAATGCCAAATCGCACATGTGAGCATTATCCTCAACATCAGCAGCATCACAACCAGCGCTATGGCAGGCATGAAAATCGTCACCATAGTCAGAACAATCACATACATCACGATCTTCCCCCATCATTCTGCTGTCGTCATCGTCATGTCCTTGAGGCTCGCAAGAGCAACACACGTTCTTAGGTAAGTGCATGCAACCATACGTTTAAACTGTATTGGTCTGAGGCTTGCTTGACATCACCGGCTGAGGAGCTTGCTTCCTTTGTGTCCCCATATTCACGATCAGCAACATCAATATCGCCATCACCACCATCCTTCAAAACAGTGGTATTATGTTTCGGGTGTCTTGAGAAAGCATCCTGCATGATCTTAAATGTATGGTTTACTGTATGCTAGGGACGCCACGTGCAGAAGAGGCTGTAGCAGAACAAAAAGCAACAGTCTTCCTCTGACCCTCAGCTGTTTCTGGGATCCCGGACCATAATCCTCGCCGTACACGAAACTGGCTTTATAGCCTGATTTTGAATGATTGAGGGAGAGATGTGAACTTGTACCCAGGAGACTAGACCGACGAATCTCATGTGGCCTGGAATTATTGTACATGATTTTGAGGTCGCCCCTAAGGCAACAGGAGCAACCTCGCAGTAGTCAGGATACTCAGGCAACGGCGTTGGGCCTTCTGGGCAGTGGGTGAGTCCCAGCAACGGTCTATAATTCGGGGAATACGCAAATATGACGGGGGATTCTAAACCCTAAACCATGTAAAATCCTAAATATATATATATATATGTAATCTGTATATAGAATGTGTCACATTTATGTATGGATATATATATATATATACATATATATATATACCAAAACCTACAAAAAACATACTACAACCGGCCGGGATCCTCGACGAGATCCGTCTGCGTTAGCTGGCTCATTCTAGACCACCGTACGGGAGTTGCAAAGACGAGGAGTGTCCATGTTTGGGTTTCACGGTTTTGGGTTTTGGGCCTAAGGATTTAGGGTTACGGACTTTTTTCATCCGAGCTGCACCACAGGCGGAGGCAAAGCTCAATGAAGAAGAAACCGTTACACACCTCGCCCAGGACGCGCAGGATCTGCAGGGCAAGGCAGCCGAGAAGCTGTTCAGTGCTCGGGTGTGAGGAGCTGGGGTTCAGGGGGGCTTGAGGTTTGGGGCTTCAGGGTGTATGCTATTAGCTAGATCTGATGGCTCCAAACCCGACGGATGAAACGAGCTGATCAGATGTGATGATTACAAGACTGAGTAACCACTTTAGTTTTAACCATTGCGCCAACAATTAACAACAGATTATTATTTTTACACGCAGGCGTGTTTGTTACCCCGCAAGTCAGAAGTTACCCCAGCCCCCTAGCACAGAAGTTACCCCACAGGTGCAGAAGCACGGTGTGGTTTTACAGCGTTCCCTGAGGGTCACACTGGCATTTGCCAAAGAGAGCTCAACTTCTGTTTCAGGTTCTGTAGTCTTTCCCGAGTGGCACGCCCCACACAAGCCATCTCAGAACACAGCCCATATGACATTGTATCACAGTTTTGTAGCGTTCCCCGAGGGCACAGCAAGATTGAGACAACTTCCGTCTTGCGGGACAACTTCCGCTACTGCTATTGTTGTTATTATTATTATTATCATTATTATTACTATTACTATTATTGTTGTTATTACTATCATTGTTACCATTATTAGTACAGGGAACTCCAAGACTCGCAAAAAACACAGTCGCCCCAGGTCCGCCTGTGTTTCCAGCTCTGACTTGTTCCGCTTCACATCGAGGCCAAGAAGGATCGAGTTGAAAACGATCCTGGTTCCCGGTTGGGGCCATATTTAAAAATGATCATTTTTAGTCCTTATTAGGGTTTCGTTAAAGCAAAAATGTAAAATTGTATCCAACAAGGACCCAGGATCATGGATGCCACAAAGAGGCCGAAAGACCGGCTGCTCAACTGAGTGGCGTCAGGGCTTAGGCTTGGCATGCTGCGGGTTGTAGGGCTTAGAATTCAGACTGATTCTGCTTATATTATGAGTACCCATGAACTCTCGAATGAGGTTCGGGGCACGATTTTTTGCCACGAGACCCGAATCTGTTGTTTTGTCTTCTTCCGGAATCCCGGCAGGATTGGAACCCCACCTTTCGTCCCATGGAAGGCATCATGAGATCAAACAGCCATCCCGCCCCATTCAAACCTTGCTGCTAAAGGGAAAGATACTGGTAGTATCTTCGAGATGCATGATGATGATCCTTAGTGTCTCCCCTGTACTTTCAATGTGATGACTGCTAAAGGGTGTACTTGTAGCTACTGTAACGTTTTATTTGCTCTGACCATGTCTTTTTTTGATGTATGGTCCATACTATTAGATTGCGATACGGCCCAAGCTTCGTCCAGCTGCCCCTCTGTCTGCCTCATAAAGCCAACGCGGGACTGACACGTCATCAGACCCCAAACCACAAAACTACAGACCCTACACTGCACTACCAAGCCCCAAACCTTGAACCCTCAACCCACAACCCAGACCCGGACCCTGTGCACCCTCCCCAGCTCTGCAAGCAGGCGGCGATACAACTGAGGCTCACCTGCAGATTCAGAAGCTGACACAAATTCCCGGGGTGCTGGCAGATTCTACGGTGCAGTGGGCCCTACCATAAACTTGTGCCACAGCAACCTTGTGACTACAGGGTCTTGCACAGCAGCGACGTATGCACATGGACGATACAATGCCTCTAGGTGTAGCTTCGAGATCCCAGTGTCCGCTCGTGGCAACCGATGCAGAACCGCTTTAAGGCTGGTTTCCGATATCAGCTCCCTCACAGCCCTGGAAACCCCGTGAAGCATCAATCTCGCATTCAGCCACTAACAGAAGCTTTTGGCATTCCCGAAGTTCCCGAAACCCCAGCCAATTCTTCAAAACCTGGCATCCTTACCTTGAAATTTTGTCGCGTGACATCTTTACGACCGAAAGCCGTACCTTTGGGGACTCCAGCCATGCTAAGCCTCCATAATGAGCCCCTGCATCCTAAGAAGTGGCGCCTCTTGGATCACACTGGGCACGGACTTACCACCACCTTCCTCGCGGGCATCGAGGGCAGTGGATTCGAAAAGGAGAAGGGCTTCAGAGCAGGGATTGCGCGGGGTCAAAGCGCAAATCCTATTCCTTCAATACATCTGCCAGGAAATTATACATGTGCCAAGGATTGGATCTACGGCTGAAACTGAAGTCGTCGTTATGGCAGTACTAGTATCCATAGTAGCAGTAGTAGTGGTAGTAGTAGTAGTAGTAGTAGTAGTAGTAGTACCAGTAGCAGTAGCAGTAGCAGTAGCAGTAGCAGTAGCAGTAGCAGCAGCGATAGCAGTAGCAATAGTAGTAGTAGTAGTAGTCGTCGTCGTCGTCGTCGTAGGAGTAGTAGTACTAGT